TCGTGAGTGCCCTGACCTATGTGCAGGACCTTGCACTTGACCTTGTTGAACTCTGTGAGGTTCTTCCTGGCTCCAAGAAGCCAACTGGTTTCTCTGTACTGCACCATTGAGAGCCCTGACTCCAGTAAAAGCACATAGAGCTTTCCACGTCAGTCATCAGAGATACTGTATTGAAGAGGGTCTGGTTACTCCTGCCCATTTGTTATCTCTCAAAGCAGTACTTGCTAGGTGAGGGAGTAAAAAAAAGATAATTACTTGGATTTCTGCGAAGATTTCACTGGAGTCACTTTCTTCTGGTGAGAAGAGCATTGGGCTGAGCCATAGGTCTGCACTGGGCAACCCGGAGCCTTTTGCCCTGGGTGTTGCTGTTTGGAGGGTTTTTAAGTCTGAGGAAAAAAAAAAAAAAATCTTCTTTTCTGGCATGTTTGCTGGAAGCTTTGTGGCTAATCTAGTTTGAGGCAGTACCTGTAAGGCTGGGAATGTTTGGTTACTTATCACGAGCACACTAATTGGTCTTTCAAAGTAACTGTTCCTGGTACTTTTATTCTCAAGAGAGGAAGAGGAAAAATAGCCTTTGTCTGACCTGGGATCTCAGCAGTGACTCCTACACAGTGTGAGTGTAGCTGAGCCGAGTTTAAACCCACAAGTGCAATAGCTGATAAAATTATTCAGTGAAAAATTCATTGGTAGTTGCAAAACATGCCTGGGAAGCCAGGTGAGGTAGCCCATGGGGAGCTGCTTCTGGTACAAGAGAAGAACTAGTATGGACATGTCCATAGCACAGTGCTGACGTTGGTGTGAATTGTGGACATGTCCTTGGGCAGTTGATACGAGGTGTTTGCTCTCTTTGCTGTTGATGCACAACACCCTATTTCTATGGAAATCTTCGGCTGTGTTTGCATTACTTAAAACATCTGTCCTTGTGATCAGTCCCCAGCCCACAGGAAAAGTGTCCTCTGTATCCCATAAGGATATGTGAGGGTGGTGACGTTCTTCATTCTCTCTCACTAGTGTAGATGCAACTTGCATAAAAAGCTGGCCACTCCCTGCAGTGTGGTTATGTGGTCTGTCATCGTTTTTCACTGATCTTGTTGACATGAATTCCTGTTGATCAGGTAGATTTTTATATTACTAGATCAATAAATGCCCACATCCAGGATTTCTGTGTGGCATGTATTTCAGGAGACCAAGTAAATCAAGTCTTTCCTGGTGCTTTTGATCATGTACAGGGTTTTTTTAATGCTTAAATTAACACTGGGTAGTAAATTATTGTACTTGTTTGAGTGTTCAGTAACTCTCACATCCCAACCCTGCAGATGCACGAAGTATATTGTGAAGCTGTATGATAATAGCTCTAATAAGGTTGCCTGTTGTTTCACTTCAGTTTGTTTTTGCTCTGCAAAGACCAGCCGTTGTAACCTGGGTGGCTGAAGACACTCAGAATATTGGTGTGATTGGGCATAAATACAAGGCTGCAGGTGATCAGTAATATTCTGGTATTCCTGAATAAATCCAGTCCCCTGCAGTCTCACTACAATAACATGGGAATACAGCGCAGTACCGGGTTTTTTATATAACACTGGTCAAAACAGATCTAATATTTTGAATGATTCTGCAGCCAGCAGAACAAGTCCAGGTTTGCTTTCACTAGACAGATTGCGAGGGTCTGGGGTGGTTCCAGTTTCAGCTGATTTATGCACATCGCTAGCGCGGGATCCATGTTGCTTTCTCTGAGCCACTCTTGGTAGTATGGAAATGCCTCAGCTGCACTTTGCATTTGGTGCCAGTGCTGGAAAGGGGACTGGAGCATCTCTCCTATGAGGAAAGTCTGAGGGAGCTGGGCTTGTTCAGCCTGAAGAAGAGAAGGCTGAGAGGGAACCTTGTAAATGCTTATAAATATCTGCAGGGTGGATGTCAGGAGGATGGGGCCAAGCTGTTTTCAGTGGTGCCCAGCAACAGGACAAGGGGCAACGGGCAAAAAGTGAAGCACAGGAAGTTCCAGCTGAACATGAGGAAGAACTTCTTCCCTCTGAGGGTGCCGGAGCACTGGAACAGGCTGCCCAGGGAGGCTGTGGAGTCTCCTTCTCTGGAGATATTCAAGACCCGCCTGGACAAGGTCCTGTGCAGTCTGCTGTAGGTGACCCTGCTTCGGCAGGGGGGTGGGGTGGGGGGGCGGAGGTCCCTTCCAACCCCGAACATTCTGTGATTCTGTGAAAGGGAAATTTTCTGCATGTATTACCTAATTTCATTTCTGCAGTTTAAGTCTGAACAGATCCTCGGTGAAATTCATCCATAGCCAATTCTTTCATTCTCTAGCAGCCTGAGCTCATCTTTCTCCGTGCCTGCTGAAACGCCGGTCATGTCCTCTTCCCGCTGCACTTGCCTTTTTCACCATGGTGTCGCTGCTTCTGTCCAGCACAGCACCTTTTCTATCCGTCCCTTCTGCTTTGTTTTGGGTAAAATCTGTGTTTTCTGGGCTCAGGCTTGTAGCAGCTGTTTCGCTTGGGTGGGTGACGTTAGCTTGTGCGCTGTCTTGTCCTGATGTAAAAACCCTGATGCCAGAAGAGCAGCGTAAAATGGGACTGCCCATGGCTCTGAACCCACAGCCTGCTTGGCTCAGCTCTCCTAGGGAAACAGATCCCCCCTTCTCAGGAGGGAGACGCTGTCTGTTACAACCAGCCGGTCAAAAGAGGTGGTTATTCTGCTGTATTCAGCGTTGGTGCAGCCTCACCTTGATTACTGTGTGCAGTTCTGGGCCCCATAATTTACGCAGGGCGTGAAGGTCCTTGAATGTGTCCAGAGGAGGGGAACAAAGCTGGTGGAAGGGCTGGAAGGAACATCCTGTGAGGAGCGGCTGAGAACATTGGGTTTGTGTAGTTTGAGGAAAAGGAAGCTGAGGGGCGAACTCCCTGCTCTCTACAGCTTTCTGAGGAGGGGACGTGGAGAGGGAGGTGCTGAGCTCTTCTCCCTGGGATCCAGGGTCAGGACGTGGGAATGGTTCAAAGCTGCGCCAGGGGAGGTTTAGACTGGACGTGAGGAAGCATTTCTTTACCGAGAGGGTGGTCAAACACTGGAACAGGTTGCCTAGAGAGGTGGTCAATGCCCCAAGCCTGTCAGTGTTTGAGAGGCGTTTGGACAATGACCTGAACAACAGGCTTTAGCTTTTGATGAGCCCTAAAGTGGTCAGGCAGTTGGACCAGATGATCTTTGTAGGTTCCTTCCAACAGAAAATATTCTTCTCTCATTTGTCTTCTCTCTCTTTTTTCTCTGTTTATCTCTCTCCTGGAAGCAGCATCCCTCCTTTAGCAGGAGGTGATGGATTTGCTGTCCCTAAAGCAGTGGCACCCGTAATGCTGGTGGCATGTGGGATGCTTCCTGGCAGTTTGCTCTCTCTGTTGCTTGTGTGTGTGTGAGCAGTCCAAGACCAAGCAGGGTGGCACCGCTGCCTCTGCTGATACCAGTGTGCAGTGACAACACCTTTGCTGGGCATTTCTGTTCCTGCTAAACCAAACATCTGGACTGGAGGTATCTTGGTGGATGCAGTTCCTTGGCTGGTGTTTCACAGGAGGTCGTTCTGAGTGGCAGAAAAGCCCTTTTAATCTTAAAACCTGTGGCTCTATGAGCTTTTCCATCATCTGAATATAACTTGAGAATTGCCTCTGGCTTTCATGAGCACTGGGAGATTCCTTTAAATGGAAATGACTTGGGTGGGTGGGATGGGAGCACGGGGCTTTGCCACACCTCCAGCATGTCCATGCCCTATTTTTTTTTTTTCCTAATTTAATTTCCATATATTTACATACAGTTTGGTTGGTTTGTGTTTTATCTGGTCAGGAAAAATGTGCCTTCTGTAGAATAATCACTTGGGGAAGTTTCTCCGCTTCTTATATCCCAGGAGCGTGCAGCTTAGTCATACCCAGGCAGGCATCCTGCTCTGGACCCCCCAGACAGCCTAGGGCAGCACTGCCTGCACAAGCTGCTGCTTCTTACACGAGTGTTTTGGGTGGTATTTAGCCAGGACGAGACATCAAGACTAGTAAACTCTGTTCTGCACTTAACCTTTAACAGCTCCTGTGGTTTTAACACTCATTGTGCTACAGCCTGTAGAAGATTGGTAGGTCGTTTCTGATGAGGACAGGTCTAGTTCTAGTGTTTTGGTATTTCTAGCAATGAAGAGTTGCCTGAAGTGCATGAGGCTCTACAGAAATAGCTCATACTAAGCCTTCTGTCATCCTCAGCTGGAGATAAAGCGTTCAAAAAGATTGAAATAACTAAGACCAATCCATGGCTGAGCTCTCCAGCACCTACATACTAAACCAAAAAACAAAATCCGTTTAGATTGTGGGGATCCATTTCTCATCGCCAGCAAAACCCATTGGGAGCAGGTTGATTTACAGATCTCAGGAGACAGTTTGACAAAAAGGCGTGTTATTTTTCTATAACGGTTAAGCTTAGCTTGGTTGAAAACAGACACTAGCGTGTTTTACAATTTTCTGCATTTAAATTATTTAACTGTAAGATGCAAATCAACACAACGCACACACCCTCTCCCCCATACTTGGGTTTATTTTCATTTTCTCTTGCTTAGATGCTGTCTCTGAATGTTGTGTGAAATGTCTTCTGTCCTCTACAGGGTTGTCATAAACTGAAGGGGTTTTTTTTTAGTCTTACTGTGCGTGCTCATGTCTCAGTGCGCCTGCAGCCTTCTGGAGAGCCAGACAGTTTTTGAGATGTGGATGCGTCTAGATTCAGGCATCTAAAATGTAACGTCAGGTCTCAGCTGGTCAGCCAGATTCCTCTGCTGGTGAATGGAGTGGAGGAGGGTGCGTGTAGGGGCAAGTCTTCCGTTCCTAAAATTAATCAAGATCAGTTCCATCCTTCCTGTCAAATGCAGGTTGCTGTTAATGTGTTTTGTTGGATTCAAGGGATCTCTTTATGCTCTCTGGATTTTTGTTTCTTGTTTTAGCTTGACAGTAACACAGATTCTCTTCTCTTTCCAGGGTGACTGTTGGATCTGTATGGAGCTCATGTCTACCTCGTTTGATAAGTTTTACAAATATGTATATAGTGTATTAGATGATGTTATTCCAGAAGAAATCCTAGGCAAAATCACTTTAGCTGTGAGTATTTTGTTAAACTTCTTTGTGTGTGTTTTTGAAGCTAATGTGAAAAATTCAGATCTCTTTCGCTCACTTGTGAGAAAGCTGGCTGATTGACGTGCAGCAGAACTGCTGCTGTTCATAGAATCATAGATTGGAAAAGACCTCTAAGATCATCAAGTCCAACTGTCAACCCAGCCACCACCATGCCTACTAAACCATATCTCGAGGTGCCACATCTACACGTTTTTTGAACGTCTCCAGGGATGGTGACTTCACCACCTCCCTGGGCAGCCTATTCCAATGCCTGGCCACTCTTTCAGTAAAGAAAGTAGAGACACTTAGATCTGTCAGGTCCATTGGCTTTCTGCAGGGGATGCTGGGCCACTCCAGTCCAGCAAACCCTCTAGTAACCTTGTGCAAAGGCTCTCAAAAGTACAAGTGGGTCTTCAGCACGTGGTTGATGTTTTCTTGGCTTATCCTGGAAGTCCTGGCCTGATAAAAATATCAAGCCTGAGCCAAATAAAGCAGTTCAGTGAGGCTGCTGGAAGATGAAAGGCTGCAGAAGTGAAGCACCATTCAGGAGTAATGGGGGGAGATGTGAGCGGATGCTGTGTTGGTGACAGATGGGCGAATTGCCTCTGTGTTGGCTTCAGCACGTGAATGCCACCGTAAGCTGGTGTCCTGAGCTGTCAGAGTGATAGGGAGGTGCTCAGCAGGTCACAGACCGTGACCTCTTGAAAGGATACGGGAAAATTCTGCTCAGTGTCTGATCTTTGAAGAAAATAATCTTCATTCTTTTTAGGGGCATCTTTATAAAATGTTGAGCCTACCTGGAGCTGCTGCCACTTCTTACAGCTAATGGGCTGCCTTGACAGCTCAGGCACTGTCACGTATTTAGATGTTTATAGCCAAGACTGAAAATGCTATCAAAGGCAGCTAATGGCTGGTCTGCATCCCATGGAGTGCATCATATTAACACCAACTAACTAAATTTATTAGTGGCCAAAGCAAGGCTTGAGATGTAGACAAGTGATGTCTGGGTATGTGCTTCCAGGGTAGTCTGCTTGGAGTTAGATGTAATTTTGTGGGGGAAAGAAAAGGAGATCTTTTCTTTTAGGGTTTGCAGGGTGTTAGTGACACGCTGGCCCACATTTTGGCTCACACAGACATTGCAAGGTCTTTTCCTGGTGAAGATAGCTTAGATAGAGACTTGAGATGAGTTTGGAAGCTCTCAGATGGAGTTTACTTACCCTGTGCAGACAGCACACTGTGAAAGGGTACCAAAGCTTTAACTCCTAGCCAGGGAATTGACCACCTCGGGTGTTTCTGACCTGGAGGTAAGGTATGGACTGAGTAGCTAAAATTTTCCATACCTGATCCCTGACCTACAACAGATCTGGGGATGTGAGGCCCAGCTGCACTGAGCAGGAGGTCATGAGCTGCTCGTGGAACACTGCTCTCCTTCCTTCACATTGCACCTGAAGGCAGCCCGGCCCCAGCAGCTCCTGAGGGAGGTGCTCTGCGCAGACTGGCTTTAGGAACAGAGACGGGTTCTGACTAGATCTTGTGGTCTGAGCTTTGTTTCTGTCCACCTTTTTCCAGAAAACAAATGAGGAACGGGACTTGATAACTCTGGTGTGAGATACTGGCCAGGAGTATCTTAGACTTTGAGGGCCTCCAGGTCCTGACGGTCTGCGTGCACGCTGCCCTGGTAGCCCCATCGTGTCTTTGTGGGGTGTGTGCTTGCAGCTTATAGCTTAGTGTGCTCCACCAACTACCCTTCATTTCTTGTTAGAGCTCTTTTACCCCAGGCTGAAGAGCTGTGAGCTTCTGCTTCACCTGGTTGAGGGTGGAGGCAGAAGCTTCTGGCAGAGTCAGCTGGGATTTAAACCAACATTCAGTCGCGAAGTCCAGCAGGCTTTCTTTTGCTGAAGCTTTGGTGCAAGGAGGCCATGCAGTCTCATTCCACTATGGACCTGCCTGAATATCAGTTGATGCTTTTTCAGGAGATGATGTAGCTTCTGCTGCCAGAGCAGAAACCTACACTGGAGCACCAAGGTGGGTGGCAAGCAGGAGACAGCACTTCAGCTGCCGCAGAGCCTGTCAGAGCTTCTAATTACCTAAACACCTGAACATGGGGTTGTGTGGGCAGGAAGGACCAGTCTTTTGGGAGTTCTTCAGTGCTAGACTTCATCCTTACAGTCGCACAGCTTCAGAGCACTTTGCAGCACAACACAAACACCCTTTTACCATCGTCATTTGGCCATTGGTTTCAATGATCTTCTCAGCAGAAGCGGAATGAATTATAAGGGTGAACTTTCAGGTTTTTTTAAATTGTCCTGTGAAATCGGGCTCCCTAAGTGTGTCTGCCATTTAATGGTGAATGGTTAAATCAGAACAGCCTCCGCTGCTGCTCCCCACGCTGCTGCTGCTCAGCCAGTGGAATGGAACAGTTGTTAGCTACTGAAAAATGCAGCGTAGGGCTTGAAATATGTAATTACTTAAGATAGTTAACATCAGAAATTGCTTGACCTCACCCTTTGCTCCCCTCTCCCAGCGTGTGATCTTTCCAGGTTACAACAAGTGGTATGTGTTTACTTAAGCACATGCCCTCTCTTGTATTACCTTTGGTTTGCAGGAAAGTTTGGGAAAAAAAATGCTTTTATTACATGACACATTACAGCATTAATAATATATTAAATGTTTTTTCCTCTTGGAGCTCCAAAAGTTTAATAATCGCAAGAATCTTACGACTCTTGCTAATTTTTCATCTGTTTTTCTTCCCTAGACTGTGAAAGCACTAAACCACTTAAAAGAAAACTTGAAAATCATTCACAGAGGTGAGTTCATGTCTTTTCTTCTTGCCTACAAGAATAATTGCAAGGATTTTAAGCTGTCTTTGCTTCAGGTCAAAGTGTCATTAGCATGTGTACTATTGAGAGTGTGAGTACAGGTTTTGCACGAGCGGCCATTTCATTGCCCCTGCGGTCTGTGATTTTCCATAAAAGCATGATTTCAAGGTGCTTGGGTGTCTGCCTCTGCCTCTGGGCACGTGGCATCTTTGGGGCTGGCTCCGTATCCCTTTGCTCCCGATCGGGATCCTCGGCGGTGGCAAGCGCGTCCAGTCGCTGCCCGCCTGCCCCGGGCCGAGGGGCGATGGTGTGGCACGGCCGGGGTCGATTATCTGCAGCTGCTGTTATTGAAATTGAAACCTCCAGCAATGACTTACTGGTTTAAATTTCTTTCCCCTGCAGACATCAAACCTTCCAATATTCTTCTGGACAGAAATGGAAATATTAAACTCTGTGACTTCGGCATTAGCGGACAGCTTGTGGACTCCATTGCCAAAACGCGGGATGCGGGGTGCCGGCCGTACATGGCGGTGAGTGGGGATGAGCTGGGCAGCGGGGAGCTGGCGTGGCCGTGGGCTATGCAGGATCTTACCCTCGTTCTGCAGGCCTGGCTCAGCACGGCTGTGCCTGTCGTCTGACTCAAGTGTCAGCCTGTTTACCGGGGGATGAGCACCCTCTTCCCAGATGAAAACAAGATCTGGATTGAGCACTGCTGCTGGCAGCATCAGCAGAGGCATCCAGGCTGTGGCAGAGTGACCAAATTCCCTTTTTTTTCTCTGTGCCAGTGCTGTGGCGCTGGAGGGGAGAGCTGCTCTGTGCCATCCAGCAGCGCCCGCTCACGCTCCAAAACAGACAGCACATGGTGAGAGTCAGTGCCATCAGGGTGCTGGGTTTTCTTGTTCTTCAAGAAATCCATTTGCTACGGTAAGATTGTGTCACGGGAGTTATTGCAGAGCAGCATTATAGTGATTTTTGCAAGCCACTTTAATTCCAAAGTGTGCTCTAACTTAATTCCAAGAGAATGCGATTCTGGAGAGCAGCGGTAGCAGAGCAGCTGCGTGGAAATCGCTCAGGCTGATCTGTGGCTCCTGGGAGTCTGTCCTGCTTGTTTGCTTCCCTCCCTCTCCCACGGAGAAAAGCTGTGGTAGTGATTTTCAAAGCTGTCTGAGGGTTTTAAACACTTCTGTGCATCGGGCTGCTTTGAAAACGCACCTCTTGATTTCACATGAGCTGAGGGTGCTTTGTGTGGGGAGCTGTGTGTCTGCTGCTGTCAGTGTGTCTTTAATTTCATTTGCCTGTATTGAACTCGAATTACCTATCTTATGGCTCTGTGCTGAAAGATATTGTTTCCTGAACTCTCTTGTCTACCACCAAGGAAATAAAAAAGGAAAATCTCTCTGTTAAGGTACAGGGCCCCTCTGGTCCCGGTAACGGCTCTCATATGGCTTTTATCTGACTGTAGTGTCCAAGGTAAAACTTGTCTGTCCTGATCCAGATGTGTGCAAGCACAGAGTCTGAGTTTTGGAGCCTTTGACCTTTTCTGTTCACTGTCCTCATAGCAGAGCTCAGTGAGCTGGGAAGAAGAGTACAGATGAGATCTGTTGCTGGGGACCAGTGCTGTGGGTACAGCAAAGTGTGTGCAAGCCCCCAAGCTAGGTAACGTAGTGAAACGGGGCAGGTGGTTTAAATAAAGACCTTGTGAGGCTGGAGAGAGGGCTCTGAGCACTTCTGGCAAGTGCGTGGAGCTTTCCGCAGGGAGAAGGACCAGACAGAGCTGCCCAGTTTGTTGTGTTGGTGGGGCATGGGGCGCAGTCTCAGACCGCAGGCACTTCTAATAGCATCGCTCTGTGGAGTTACGACTGTTGTTTAACATTTCTCTGTCCTCTGAGGTGTGTATCAGGTCTGTAAATAGGGATCTTGGAAAAACTGCTCGCTCCTTCCCCTTCAAAAGTTGAGTGGGCTATAATTATAGGAATTAATGCTCCCATTTTTCCTGAAGCCGTGGGTAGATGGTTAGCTTTGCACAGGCTGTTGGTTTAGTTACGACGTGACAGTTACCGGCGTGTCTGTAAATAGCTGCGCTGCTTCATTTCCCCTGGGACTGGAGTGGGTGGGTGCTTCCAACAGCCCCGTGTCTTTCCGCCCTGTCTGTGCATATTCACTCTGCTCTGTGTGCATCTCCAGCACCAGCTCCAGAATCTGCTAGATTTTTAAGTGAGCAAAAGTGTTTCAGTTCGGTTTGTGATTTTAAGAGCTTTGGCATGGTATATGGTTTGTGGGGCGAGCCAGCAGCTGGCAAGCGGTGTGGGAGACGGCTGGCCTCTTCCCTTCTGCTCTCCGGACTCAATGACTCCTCCAAGTACATGAGCTTTTCCACGTACTGAGAAGCCTGGGAAATGGGAAGATGTCCCCAGCACGCAGTCATATCTGCCAGCTCGTTCTCCAAGCCAGCAGGGGCTGATGGCTGTAGTGATGCTGTGACCAAACCTGAATATACCTTGGGCGGTAGTCAGGCCAGTCACACTCCTTTCAAAAGGAATATTGATATTTTTTTTTTTTTTTTTTTGTGCAAAATAGGCGACTTTTCTTGGTGCAAAATAATATGACTTTGTTTGTCCGGGGTGGGTCAGATAAGGGCTGCTGGATGGTGCTCCCTGATGATGAGAGCGTGTTGCTCTGCAAGGCCTCCTTGGCCCATGGCGCTTGCAGTAACTGTTGTAGTATGAGCACTTGCCCTCCAAAGGAACCTGGTAACACTGTGTTCACTGGAGCTGTGTCCCCAAATGGTTGCTGATAACAGTAACATTGGATGTCGGCCAGTTCGGCTGCGAGCAGTCGGATTAGGCAGCAGGAGCCATGTCCAGCTGCTACGCAAGTGCTGTGTGCTTTAACCAAAATTGTTAGGGCTGTCACAGAATGCTCCCTATCAGCCTTGGAGCTGCCAGTGCTGGAGAAGTTGTTCTGCTTTTGGCTTTGAATTCCCCTGTGATCGTTATATTGAAGTAAAGGCGTACGTGTTGGTGCCTTGTGTTCTCTGAAAGAAAGGAAAGACGGAGCCCCCGCACTTCCCTGGGCAGCAGCCTGCCCCCAGAGAGCCCTCCGAGACCTGTGCCAGTGCCAGCATGGTGGGTTTGCTCTAGGTGAGGTTTGGCAGCGTGCTCACGGCAGCCTTAAACGAGCAGGGGGGCTGAGATTGCTCCTGGCCAGCCCCTGGTCCTCCCTGCCTGCTGCTCCCTGGCAATCCCTGCGTTGCCTCCTGCTGCAGCGGGTGCTGCTGATTTGGGTGGGAGAGGAGGCTCCATGTGCCACCCTGCAGCTGGTGGTCTTCACGGAATAACTGCTTTTTGCCTTCCTAATGCTGAAGTGACCCCAGCTGCTGTGTGGGAGAGGAGGGATGAGGCTGGAAGTACCTGATTTAGGTGGGGGAGGACCCAGACAGATGTCCTGCCCTGCTCTGCTCCTTTGGGACCTCTCCAGGGGCAGAGGTGGATGGTGTCACACGCATCCTTGGTCCCTCAGGTCCTTTCCCAGGTCACCTGGGAGCTGCCTGCTGTACCCGAGTGCCGGTGCCCTGCACTGCTTTGCCCACCCTCCCCTGGGCTGCCTGCTCGCTCTCCCTGACGAGTTGTCGAGGTGACAGGGTGGGCAGGGGGATGCTAATGCATGGCCCGTGTCCCAGCAAACACAATTCCACTTGTCCCTGGGTGTGGGCGAACAGAAGGCCAGTGCAGAGCCCCGTCGCTGCCGTGCTGCTGCACGCTGGCGCTCGGGATGTGTTTCCTGCTCCTCGTTTCTCCTCGGCAAAGATGGGCACTCGCTGCTGGCATCGGCATCCGGGGCCGGTGGAGGTTGTGTCACCCACTTGGATGGCTCATGCAGAGTTCAGGCCATGCACGGAAAAGGAAAAATTCCCAAGGCAGGTGACAGTGATGACTCTGAGCCCTGCTCCCCCAGTCTCCCTGCGCACGTAGAGGGAGAGGCTGCAGGGATGCAGGAGCTCTCTGAATCCTTTACCTGAGCAGAGCTGTGGCAAGAGCCTCTGCCTGTGTTAGCTTCTCATTCCTGACCCTTTGCCCAAGTTTTCATCAGGCTCAGTCATTGATTTATCTGAACAGGCAGGCTGTTGGTTTGAATTCGGGCAGCTAAAATCCTCTTGGATGCTCCTGAATATTGGTGTGTGTTGGACTTTTGTCTCTTTTTTTTTTTCATGTTTCCTCTGCAACTCAGCACCCAGCCATAATTTTTATGACTGAGAAAATGAATTTGGGAGGAGACTGGGAGATAACGTGGCACCATCCCTCTGCGAGCAGCGGGGGCTGGATCCAAGCTCTGCTCCCCACGGTGTAGCGAACGCCGGTGGAGATGCCTGAGCTCTGAGCGCAGCCCTCCCCGCTCGCGTGCTGCTGCTGCTGTCACCCACGTGCTTCAGGCGTTTCGGCTGAGAACATAACCTCCACTTACTCATTCGCCGGCTAAAATCATCCGTGAGGTTCGCCCAGCGTGGGACTTCTCCCATCCAAACTTAGCTCCTTACGTCATGCGGCGCAGAGCCTGCGCCGAGCGGCTCCGCTGCGGGGCTGAGCTCCTGTCTGTGCGTCGACACTTCCACCCGGTCCTGTCCTGCCAGGGATGCGGTGGGAAGGGATTTTCCTCCTCGCTCGTTGAGACGCGTGTCTGCAGAGGCAGTTTGTATAAACCTGGGGAAACGTGTCAGCAGCTGCCTGTGTAAGCAGACCGCTTGGCTAGAAGTGTTGAGGACAGGATGTGTGTTTTGTGGAGGAGAGTATTAAAAGGTGGAAAAATGTAGTTTTGGCCACTAGGATTTACGTGGGAAGTACCTAAAAGTCAGGTTTGGGAGATACTTGTCCTCGGGAGGCATGGGAGGTTCAGCTGGAAACAGCAGGCAGCTCCTGCTTGCCGTGGGTTTGCTCTGCATGGGGCACGGCTGGCTGTGCCACGGTGGCCCAGGGTAGCTCCCGCTGCCATGATTAACTACAAGAAGGCTAATTGGAAGCCACGAATAGCAGAATGTGATCATCAGGGCAGTGAGGATGCAGAGAGGGGTGGGCAAGGCTCCTTAGGGCAGGGTCAGGTGTGAGGAGAGGGAGCGAAGGGTTGTGCAGGTCCCAGGTCCGCAGGGGTGAGCCTCCCGTCCTCCCTGAGCCTCTCCAGCTCTTGCTGCTCACACAGGTGAGGCTGGGGGGGATTCTGCCTCAGGAGCACCCGTGGGGATTTGCAGCGGGGCTCTCCACCCCTGTGCCCAGCCTGTTCCCAGCAAGTGCAGGAGCACCCTGCGTGCCGCTCGCAGCACCAGCCTGCTGCAGCAGCTACCCTGGCACTGCTGTCTGGATGCAACCGAGCCTGGCCTCCACCTCCTCTGTCCGTCCCACACTGCTCCAGCGTGACCCTCGGTGGTGGGGCCGGCAGGGCACGAGGGCCATGGCAGGAGCAGGGGATACCACCTTGTTCAGGACTGGGTACTCAAGCATTCGTGGAGTGCAGAAGCTCCTATTTTCTGTAGTACGGGAAG